GAAAGTGAAGATAATACAGAAACTTTTTTTGAAGAGCAATTTTTAGCTAATAATAGTATATTAATATAAGTAAACCTGTTGTAATTGCTTTGAATCGATCATAATTAGCTTCCTTAATTAATAAAAACTAAAGTGATCAGGATCTGGCCATATCGATGAATGCACAAATAATTGGATCAATATCAGTAAAGTAAGTTTAATCTTTTTATTTTTGTTATTATTGACTTATTAATTAATCAAAATTTAATTAAAATGATTAAAGCTTTGTTGAAACAGTAGATGCACCAGTAATTAGACAGAATATTTTGTAGCTGGGATGAATTAGACCATTTTGTTTTTCTCTATACAAGATCACAGAATTTTGTCAATATTATACGTGGGTCTGAATACAATAATGGTATTTGTCGAAGCTGCCATTATGACTAATATAGTTGAAAATCAATAACAAACACGAAGTAAACATAATAGGTATCATTGGCAAATTCGTGCTAGTTGTCCCAAGACAACAGGCATACTAAAAATTAATTTTCTTTGTTTAAGTCATAATAATCATTCAATAAATGATGAAACTAATAAGTTTGCTACTAAGTATTGAACTTTTTCTGAGAATATGCTAAAAGATATTAAGTTTTGAACTGAAATGGTAATATAAATATGAAAACCCAGTACCAAATATTAATGAAATAGTATCTCGATACTTTTTTTTTATCTCAAGATCTCTCAAATACTATTCAAATCTTTAAATAGCAAAATCATATTAAATGTGAGGCAGCTATTTTGCTTAACCACCTTCTTGAATTGAAAGCTAAAGATTCTAGATAGATTGTTAATTAGAAGGTTGACTCTGTAAATAATTCTCTTATTTCTCTGTTCTGAATATCACCTGATCAATATAATGGTATTAGGATATTATTCAATATGACAATACTTATTCAACAAATTGGTTTAAAATGTTATTGGGTTTTTTGTAATAGTGGATAACAACAATCGGTCTCGATTAGTAAAACAAACTCTTATGAATAATGAAACAGTAGAGAGCTACGAATGGGTCTTACAAACTTTAATTACAAATACAAAAACTATATCTTTAATGATAATAACCAATAATGATCTCGCTATGAATACTGCAATAGCTAATGTTTTACCTAATACAAATCAGATTCACTGTATATTTCATATCAGGCAGAACTTAATAAAAAATTTAAAAGGAAAGCTGAGTGAACTTTATCATAAATTTTCACAAGATTGGTATCAAATGTATAACTCACTATTATATCAAAAATTCAACTATTTATAGAATAACCTTTTAACAAAATTTCAAGATACATCTTTATATCTTAATCATGCTCTTTCTAGTAAAAAGAAACATTGGGCTCTCTGCTATATTTCTAAAGTTTTTACCACAGGAATGCAGTCAATACAAAGAGTTGAAGGACAAAATGATATCATAAAAAATACAGTAAATGGAAGTACTTCTTTAATTAATCTTGTAAAGCATATTGATAAGCAAATTAACCATGCGTCTACTTTCATTAAATATAAAAATTAGATTCATTCTGTTACAGGATCTATACTTATTTATGCTAGTTTCAAATTCTCACCTGATATTAACAAATAGATTGTTTCTTATTTAATACCAACTTCTTTATCTATTCAATGACAAGAGATTGCCCAAGCCATATAGTATATATCACAACTTATTAATTTTCAAGACTTGGGGCTTAATTCAACTGAACAATTTGATTAGATCAAACTATTTAATTTGACTAGACAATTTGACTTGACAAAACAATTAGATACTATTAAGATTTCTAATACCTTTATTAAAGATATAGTGGACGTGCTTGCTATCTTGGTTAAAGAACTAGTACTATCTACAGAAATTGAGTCTATTCTTGAAGTTTGGCAAGTTATCTAGCACAGATGCAAAGCAAACAATTATGTTATATTGTTTAAAAATAATTCTTATTTGTATATGTGTCTTAGTTTAATTCAATGTGGTTTTGTTTGCAAATACTTTTTCCAAGTTATGAAAGTATCTAATTACATAGTATTTCACATTATGCTTATATCGAGAAGATAGTATATTGATGAAAAACAAATTGAACCAGAATCACAAACATGGTTACATCCTTTCATTATTGGGTTAGGTAATAATATAAACTTGGAACTTTCAGAACAAGCCTTTCCTGACTTGTTTTTTCATTTACCAAACATCTCATTTAGTGAAGCTTATAATAAAGTTAATCATCGCAAGACATATACAACTATTAATGGGTTATTTAAGAAAGCTATTCAAGCTAAATTAGATGCTGGCTCAAATACAATTCAAGAGCTCAAAGACTTTATAAGTAGCTTTATTACCAAATATGCACCAAAACAGAAAGATAAAAAAAATAAAGGCAACAGTATGATGAGAATGAAACTACTTCAAATTATAGTTCTAGTAATGAAAATGTTATTACAGTTAAAAATCTGGTAGTTTATACAAAAAGATGTGCTCCACAGAAAAAGCATTTTAAAGGTTTATATGAATTAGAGAGCAAAAGTAATTCTAGTGCTAAATATTCACAAACATAGAAGGTTAGAAAACCAACACAATATTAGCAATATTAAAATATTGGATATAACAAAGCTGGTTATGAGGTGTGGTATAAATAGCATAGTATTTCATATTCATATTAACAAATTATGTTTCTACCACTTGCTGAATTTATTATAATCAGATTTATTTTATGAGTAAAATATGATGTATAAACTAAAATAGTATATATAGTTAATATCTCTTTTAATTGTTAGAGTCAGGGTGGGCCTATATATTGTTCTTTTGTATTAGGATAGGTTTATAGGTTATATGTAAACTCTTGTTTATAAACTATACGTATTATCTTAATTTATATACTATATATATATATGCATACTTGTTTTGTTGACTTTATTGACCATATTATAACTCAAATAAATTGAATTATATTGCTTTATGGTAAGTTTCATGTTTTCTAAAACTAAATTTTAGATACAATTCACTGTTCATTATAACTACCAGTTAATATAATGTTTTGGTATATCTGAATAGAATCAATTAGCTATTTATATATGATAACAGTATATAACTATGATAAGTATACTTTTTCATTTAAATAGCAGTACATATTATGCAAGTTATTAACAGATAAATTCTTGTTTATAGTTATATATAAAGCTAAAAAAGCTTTTAAGCATCTAGCAAATTGAAGTATTATCATGAGAAGACAACTTTTATATATATCATATATATGTACATATGTATTTATATATAGTAGTTTAATTATAGATATAAATGTAATTACCTGAACAATATACATAGTCTCATGCTTTGGTAGTAAATATGGATAATTGGCACAATATTATATGATCGTCTATAAGTATTGTACAATAAAAATCTATTTAGATAGAAGCATTATACATAAATATTATATTAATGTATATTACTCAATATATATTATATATAAATATTATATTATATAATATATGTTATATGATATATATTATATAATATATATTTACTATAAATATATACAGTCAAACCCCTCTATAGTCACACCTTTGAGATACAAAAAACTGTGATTGTAAAGAGATGTGACTAAAATAGAGATATTTTCTATATAGTTATAAATAATTGGTAAAAATAAATTTGTAATTATACCAATTTTGTGA